GGACCTTGACATCCCATAACCCCGCAGAAGGGCGCGAAAAGCATGCAAAACCCTAGTTCGAGGCCCTTTTGCCTTATGCCCCTATAAAAGAACGAACACAGGCCTGTCCTACCGCGACGAAGCGGGTGCTACCCATGCCGAGCAAAAGAATCCCACAACTTGGATTTTGTCAGGGGTTTGGGTTTAGGGTTTAGGGTTTCGTTCAGTCAGGGTTTTAGGGTTGAGGGTCTGGGACTAGGGTTGCCGCAGTGAGTAAGTTTCAAGCAGGCTACAACGACGACGACCACGACTACTACTACGACTACCATTACCCCCCTCCTTCCAATTAATGTCGCTTGGCTCCGAACGGTTGCAATCCATCAGTGGATATCAGTGGCCAATCAAAATGCAGTTTAAAGCAGGGACGAATGGTTTACTATAGAGGCCTTAATAACTAATAACTAACTGAACTACCGATACTACTTTGGGGGCCCCTGAATTTATGGTATTTTTAAGGGACCAAAACCGCACTATGGCTGGTAAGGCCCATGCAGTAAGTCTGCGGCACCAGGCTGTAGAGGCTCATCCCCCAAAGCTTGTGACAGCGGCTGAAGCTGCAAATTCGTCATGGAAGGAGCTGTTAAGCCAAAGGCGGTGGGAGAAGACGAACACCCGGTAAACTAAAGCAGAGGAAGGTCTTAGCAGCCCTAAACGCCGGAGCCGAAGACCTTTGGAGGCTAAAGAAGAATACCAAGGTTTAAAGTCGAGAAATGCCTGCCGGCTTGTCGCGGGAGGGTTCACCAACCAGGTACGTAACCAGCCCTGAAGCCCAAGCGTCCATGGGGAGGGTTTCCTTTCCAACTAGCGTGCGGTGACAGTTTGCGGTGTTTGCGCTTCAGTGTAGCTCGTCATTTCCTGCCCAGAATCCCCAACCACCATGCAAACGTCCGGGCCGGAGGGGTGAGGGGCGGCAGGGGCTCATATTTGGTTAGGCTGAAATAATACTAATACAGCTTGATGTCAGCAGCCACCTACAGTACTCGATTCCAGCAACAGCAGCAGGAGTAGGAGTAGTATTGGTCCATGAGCCGGAAAGTTATTTCCGCCCTAGGACGAACCATTCCCTAAAGCGGAGTATAGGGCCTCAAGACACCCCTAATCCCTACGCCTAACTAAGCTCTACACCCTACGTGCAAGGGTCGTCTGGTCCTTGGGGATGTGCCCTCATGGCCTGCAGCTGTGGTGGACAAGCTCCAAAAGCCGGTCGAAAAGGCCCCGCATGCAACTAATTGATAGAGTAACATGACACAATACAACGTAAAGGAAATGAGTGTAGCAGGTTCGACAAAAGCCAAAGTGCGCGAAAGTATTGTGATACACTTGAACTTTGATACAATAGAACCTAGCATCATGTACTATACTAGAATATGATAGTAGACTATGGAAAAAGAGAAAGCATCAGTAAATGTATATTTGTATATCTATATGTATATATAACATCACATAGTTTAAACATATGATATAAGATAACGTATCCTGAAGTATAGCATAATATGATGTGGTATAATATAATGTATAGTACACATATTTGAAAAATCATAATACATTTATCAGATTTGTATATACAGTATATATATAATATAATATAATATGATGTAATATGTCCGTGAGTAAATACTTTGAAATAACACAGCAAAATACTGTTGTTATGTTTCTCATATTTCAACATTATACTTAAGAAATGCACCACAAAGTAATGTGTCAAACGAAAAAATTATGCAACAGAAGCGGTAACGTAACATCGAATACATAATGTGTACCATGATGGCGATAGACTATGTAATATGGCCAGGAGACTAGTCTAACATCATATAAATATGGAACAACATGTTATATACATATGTTATGTAAAACTAGTCTACGACAACTGCAAAACAGTATGGTTTGATACGGTATAACACAGTGTAGTGTAGTGTAGTGTAGTGTAGTGCAGCATGATGTAGTATTGTGTCATATCTTATCATATCATACGATGCAACACAATCTATTCTAACATTAGCCAAACACTTTAAGTCACAATACAGTATAACGTAGAATAATACAAAATAACACACCGTAGTGACGTAGTAGAATATTTCCCGACATAATAAAATGCAATGCAGTATATCAGAAAACATGATCCCATGATAGAAATAACGGAGTACAACATAATACAGCATAACAGAATACAATATGCCGAAGTGTACATCATGTCATTTTACAACAACAGTACTTTTTACATGTTACCGTTTTACTAGTGTTTTGTATCATTATAATTATCGTTATTATATTTTAATAGTAACTAGTATTGGTATAATTCGTCTTCCTATACTGTTATTATCAGGGATCAGTCTTATTGCTAGTTGCATAGTGTGTAATGAATATAGGCAGCTTTGTAAACAAAAGCCCCTTATCAGAGGGTGCCTTTGTATGCTTGTATGGTGTTTGAAGACCAGCCGCGGTTAGCCAGTCAGCAAGCAGGCAAGCCAGCAGGCAAGCCAGCCGCCGGCCAGCCAGTGCCAGGCAGCCAGACCACCAGCCAGTACCCCGGCCCCGCCGTGTGGGGGTTAGCAGCTCCCCGCGAAGCGGAGGCCAGCATGCAGCCAAAGTTTTGGTCAGTCGTAGACAGGAACCCATGAAACTCTATTTGGGGCCTCCCCTTTGGGGGTCCCCTTGGCATGTAGACCACTGTAGGGATCTCCAGGACATGCGTTTTGCCTGCCTTCTAAAACATATGGAGAACCTATGCAGCCTCGGAGCTTGCCAGGAAAGGCATGGCTATTGGTTTTGGGATTTAGGATTTGGGGTTTAGCTTTTAGGGTTTAAGGTTTAGTTAGTGGTTACCTGTGCTTTTTGGAATGTTCCCCTTCAAAGAGTAGGAGCAAACGATCCATTGGGTCGAAGTGGGTACTGGAGAACCGAATTTACAGCGTGGTGGTTGTCTTATTTCCAGACTCCAGAGAATCCGACCTTCTGCATGTCTAGGACCTAGAATAGGCCCTTATTCCCTTTTTTTAGGGTTCAGGTTCCCTTATAAACCCCTTTAAACCAAAAAGGGCATCCTTTTTATGCCTGGGTTACTCTTGGGTCTAGATGTCAGAACACCCTCCTCCACAGCATCCGGCTTGTGTCCCCACAATTCAACTCAGAGGCTCAACCCTAAAGCCTGAGACCCGGAACCCCGAACCCTAAACTTCAGACCCTAAAGTAGGTAGAATAATGGCCCAAAACCTATAAAGGCTATTATTCTACATACTTTTGGGGTCCAGCTAAGCCCCTGAGCCCAGAACTCTAAAGCCCTCGAGGGCACCTTCTCTGTGCAGGACTGGTCTTCGCCTATCCGCTGGTTTCGCCCTGATTGCCTCGGGTTGTAGGGAAGTCTCCGAATATGCGTTACCACTTACAAGTATAGCTACCCTACTTATAACCCCACTTAGACTTAAAACTACCCATGATCCTCCAAGTTCAGGCTTCAGGGCAGTCAGGGTTCAGGCTGCCTTCAAACCTTAATCTGGTTGCTCCAGTCCTCCATGTTACTGTTTGCTGTTGAGGGTTCGGGTGTGTGGGGCGATTGTGCTTCGTGGTTTGCCGCATTTGATGTCGAAGCCACTCCAAACCAATGAAGAAGCTAGAACACTCTTCCTCGGGGTTCCTTAGTAATGTTGTGATGTAACCCCACTAAGAAAATTCCGGCCCCGTATTGAATGCTTATTAGCGTCTCTTCAACCCTTACCTAGACATGGTGGCATCGTAATTAAAATAGGAGAAGTTTGGGGGGTAAACCATACTTTACATATAACGAGATTTGCTCAATACTTCTTCCCACAGTAAAAGTTAAAGCAAAACCTGTATATAAATCGTGTAAAGTACAACAGGACCCCAAAGCCCTACCCCCCCAACCCGTAAATCCGGAAGCGGCTTTGTCAACGTTGGGTGTTGCTGGTCCTGAGCAGGAACGATGATCTTCATACTGTACTGATACCCAACCCTACTTTTCTGCAAGACACTACTGAACATCCTAAAAGGAGACCCTGCTGAATAGTCGGTTTTGATAGTTTAGAGTGTTGACCCAAGTTAATCAGCCCCTCATGTTTGTTAAGAGCTGAATCTTTGGATCCCTATTTCGGCTGTGATTTCTTTTGCCAGAAGGACTTTTTGTTCAGGACTCTGCGTACGTCAGAGCCCACATACATTCGCACAACCCCTCTGGAAATCCCTCTCAACACCCATTACTCTACAGGGACCCTGCTTCGCAATAAGCTTCAGCCCGCTAGGGGCTTAACAACTAGAAAAGGGTTTGGGGGCCCCTTATACTTTGTTATAATCAGGAACCCCCATAATAGTAGTGGTAGTTATTTAGGCCCCTAGATTAACGTTTCAGAAGCTTTCGTGGGCCAACCTAGAATCATACCAAAACGAAAGGGCTGGGGCAGAGCTGTGGGCCTAGTTTCAGATACACACGAACTTTTCGTCTCCAGCATCTAAGACGTAAGCTTTCTTGAAGTTACGTTCTATGAAAGATCTTCCAGCAGCCTAGCATATCTGTAAAGTTAGTCTGCAAACTCAAGCCTTAAAGCCTAGACCGCAGCCCTAAACACGAATCGCCTAAAGCCCAAACTCTAAACCCTAAACCCCTAAAACCCGCTAACACCCCTAAAACCCCTAAACCCTTAAACCCCTAAAACCGCTTAGACCCCTAAAACCCCTAAACCCGAAAGCCCAAACCTTGGGACGCAGCTGCTGCCGGCACAGGGGTTCTTTCGGCTCTGATGGGGCTCTTCCCAGGCATATACTCTAAAACCCCTTAAGTAAGGAATATACCTACAAGTGGAACTTGGAATCCTGATAAGGTTGAAGCTGGTTTATGGTATATTCTTAAGGCAGGATTCGGAGCCCTGATAGAGTTTAAGATGGTTTATGAAAGTGTATTCCTTCATCAAGGGGTTTTGGAGTCTCTGAGCTTTTCGCTCGTCACTTAAGAGATGGCGAGCGCTCGATCTCTTTTGGCCCCCTGGCTTTTCCTCGGCTTCACGTCCTTCTTCCGGCGATCTGGCGCATCGGTCTGTCCAGACGGGGCCCCTGAGGCGCCCGAAGCCTGCGCCTCTTCGGCCAGTAGTCTGCGCTCATCCTGTGGATTGTGGAGGGTCCTTGCTATGAGCCGAAAAAATTCCGGGAAAGGTCTTTGTTTTGAATTTTTGTGAGGGGATAGCGGGAAACTTAGGCACGAATCATGAGTACGACTGCATTTCCGGACGAGCTGCCGATCCATGCGAATGTCTCGAGGGCTTCTATCCTGTCGGGAAGCAGGGGTGGTATCCCGACACGCAGCGCGGCTACGAGTTCGCTTGCTGTCCAGGCGAAGGAGATGGCGGCAGCTGCGGGGAAGAAGGGATGCTGGGCTCTCGTTAAGAACCTGCAGTTGCATCACCGGAAGCGGGCTGCATAGATATTTTGTGTGCTTCAACTCGATTAACATATCTTCGTCTACGTCCTTCAACACCGTATATCTTAATTAACACTCTAGCAAGCCCGATGCGACCCTTTTGCAGAAGAGCCTAGAAATGCTTGAACTCCTAAACCTTAAGCCCCAAACCCCTCAAACCCTGAAGCCCGAGTAAGAGCCAGGCGTTTCCAAACGAGAACTCGGGTTAATAACTGGAATGGGGATTGGGGCCTACTCTTTGAAATGTACTAATAATCAGGAACCCTGAATATACTGTTTCAGGATAGCGGTGATCCTGTCCTTCTCTCTGCTTGGCGCCGGCATCGTTGGATATGCAGTTTGTACTGCCTTCATCAAGTATTCGTGCCTTGGCCGTTGCTTTTCCTAACAAGGGTGTCTGATGGGGTTACAGCGGCTTAAACGGGTTGGCTGGCGTTTCAAAGTGCTTTACACGGGCTTTGAAAGGGTTGTATGTTGGCATAGTTCATAGTTTACCAGGCGTACTGTATGCTACGACGTGTGTGGGTGGCAACATACTACGAATTGCACTGGCCTAGCGGAAACTCTCAACCCAAGAAACCCCCTCATAGGATTGCATAGGGATTTGTATATTAGTACCACTGTTTGATGGTGTTTCGTGAGAATAGGCTCATGTTGGGGTCGTAGTAAACTGTAATGCGGTGTTGGGCCATTACATGCACCAACTCCATCAACACTACTCAGGAGAGGTCTCGAGCCCTTGACACGTGAAGATTTGGCCCTTACAGAGAACCCCATCGTGCATGACGGGTGGAAGCTTCATCAATCAGTGGAAGCACATTTGTGGTGCGTGACGCTTGATGACCTGAAGCAGTTTCGCCGCCTTGTGGGTCGTGCCATCGCAGAAGGAGTGATCAGGCCCACCGATCGGGATCCCTTTGACACCACCGACATGGTCATCGGTCCTTCTATGTACCCGGGCAGCGTGAGCACACTTTGCACTTCCGGTGATAATAGGATCCCCATAGAACTGAATGCCTAAGTGTTTTGGGTGCTTGTGAACTCAGCCCTTCAAAGGTACACGGTCAACACGCAATACATAAAGCCGGTGACTGCTGCCGCTGGCAACCCATCCTGGGCATTGATGAAGCACCCTAAGGGTTTCTGGGCTCTCTTTGGGGTTTCGGGCTTATGACAACCAGTGCAAGTCACCATCATAATGACGCCGATCAATCTGCTTTACAAAACTTAGGTTGATCTCCAAAAATATCAAACCAGGTTTGAAATGCGACCTCTTCATCACTCATGGATGGGCCGAGGGAATCTTTGAGTTCGTGGACCAGGCTGGGGACGTTCTTGAAACTCCCTTCTGGGTGTTTATTAGGGACCCCAAAGGCACATAAGCATACTCATTTGATAAGGATATCCCTATCCTAATTTCTGCTTATGTGCTTTTCGGGGGTCCTAGTTTAGGGTTTACGGTGTAGGGACTACCCATTGGATGTTCAGCGCTTTGAAATTTTAGGGTTCATTCTGTAGAGTAGTAAAATATGAATTGTCTATTCTAGTAACTAGTAACGCAGTACAGTAAAGTGGGCATATTCGTAAGATGGAACTCTTTGGATTTTGGAAGACTAGTCAAGTAGCGCAGTAGCTGAGTATATTCTTAAGAAGGAGCATAACTACGTGTAGTGGTTTCACGGGCTTAGTGCAACAACCAGCCCAGCAGGTGGTGAATTCCTGGCCCTTCGGTGCCAAAGCTGCGTATGTCTGCTTCCTGTCCAATCCGCAGAATCTGGACATCGGTGGCTGAGTTTTTGTTCAGGAACCGTTCTACACCAAAATACGGTTCTACAGGAGTTATCACTGCTTCCTTATTATTGTAACTTAAATTGAAACCCTAAACTGCAAACCCCAAACCCTAAACCCCAAGCCCTAAGTCCTATAAACCCAAATCCTAAGCCCCCAACCCCGAACTAAGCCCCATTAATCCCAAATCCTAAACCCCAAACCCAAGCCCTAAGCCCCATAAACCCTAAACCCCAAGCCCCAAACCCAAAGCCCCATAAACCCCATAAACCCCATAAACCCCAAACCCTAAGCGCCATAAACCCTAAACCCCAAACCCCAAACCCGAAGTGCCATAAACCCTAAAACCCCAAACCCTAAGCCCCATAAACCCCAAACCCCCAGCCTAAAACCCGAACAAGAGCCGTACAAATTGAAGACCCCAAAACCCCTAAACCTTAAACCCTTATACAGACACTAGACCCCGAATCCTAAACCCTAGACCCTAAGATCCAGGTGAGATGATCGAGAGCCCAGAGGGTTCCCCTTTCGCCAAGGCTTTGCAGTCAGCCACGCAGGCAAGGACAGCAGCTTTTGCCGGCACTCCTGTCATTTGTGACTCCCTAGGGTTTTGGGATATTTTTGAACGTTTGTCTTCAGGAACCTTATTGTCCAACAGCCGACCAGGGAGTCACAAATGACAGGTGGTTCAACGGCTGAAAATGGAGACCCTTCCAGGGTTTTGGTACAAGTCACAAATGACTGTAGTCAGTTTGCCCAAATCTGCAATATTTCCTAGGCGCGGTGCTCATTTTTAAGAAATCTTGGTTTTCCCTGGGTTTGGTGCATTTTCTCGCTGAAAATGCAGTTTTTCCTAGGCTTCGTGCACTTTCGCACGAAAGTAGTGTTTTTCCCTAGGAGAGGTGTATTTTTCGCACAACGCACAACCATATGCCTGCTTCCAATTCAGAATTATATATATATATATATATATATACACATATAATACATATATATATATATACATGTATATATATATATATATATATATGTATATATATATATACATAATCAATTTAAAATATAAAATATATATGTATTATATAGTATATATTATATAACCTATAATATATACTATATAATGTATAATATATAATATAATATAAATAGTATATTTATATATATATCATATATATCATATATAATATTAAAAAATATTAGATAATATAGAGTATATAGTATATAGTATAAAATATAATACATAATACATAATACATAATGTGTTATGAGCGCATATATGTTTATATCTTTATATAAATATAAATAAATAAATAAATATATATATATGTATATATAGGCGCATATATATATATATACACACATATAATACGCCTCTAGTACTGCTTAACAAACCCGCAACAAGGAGTGAATCCAGCAGGAACTTACTACTGAAGACAAAAACCCTAAGGAGCGAATCCAGCAGGAATCGTGTGCCGAAGATGGGCCTTTCGGCCTTTCAGCGCAGAATTTGAGGAGTGAATCCAGCAGGAGCCTATTAGCGAAGACAAAAACCCAAAAGAGTGAAGCCAGCAGGAACCTTTCGCCGAAGATGAAACCCTGTTGGGCGAATCCAAGAAAACATTTCACCCAAGACGAAGACCCTAAGGAGTGAACCCAACGGGAACCTATTACCGAAGACAAAAACCCTAAGGAGTGAATCCAGCATGAACCTTTTGCGGAAGATGACGCTCAAAGGGGTGAATCCAAGAAGAACCTTTGACCCGAAAAACTCTGGGGTGATCCAAGAAAACCTTTCACCCAAGACGAAGACCCTAAGGAGTGTACCCAGCAACATTCTTTTACCGAAAACGAAAAAACCCTAAGGAGTGAATCCAGCATGAACCTTTAGCCGAAGATGAAACCAGCAGGGGTGAATCTGAGAAGAACCTTTCACCCAAGACGAAGACAAAAAGGAGTGAACCCAGCAGGACCCAGTGCCGAAGACAAAAACCCTGAGGGTTGAATCCAACAAGAACCTTTCACCCAAGACGAAGACCCTAAGGAGTGAACCCAGCAGGAACCTTTAGCCGAAGATGAAACCCTAAGGGGTGAATCCAAGAAGAACTTTTCACCCAAGACGAAGACCCTAAGGAGTGAACCCAGCAGGACCCAGGCCCTGAGGAGGACCCAGGCCCTAAGGAGTGAACCCAGCAGGAACCTTTTGCCGAAGACGAAGACCCTGAGGACTGAATCCAGCATGAACCTTTTGCCGAAGAGGGAATCCTAAGGGGTGAATCCAAGAAGAACCTTTCACCCAAGACGAAGACCTTAAGGAGTGCTCACAGATGACCAGAAGAAGCAAAAGTAAGGGAGTCACAGATGACCGGTGTTGCTGTGTGAAAACCACATTGACAAGCAAGGCAAAAGGGTCGGGAGTCACAGATGACAGGTGCTTGTTTGAGAGGAAATCACACGCCTGCCAATGAATATGAGCACTTTCGGGTGAGGTGATGTGTGGTGATGGCAGGCGGAGGGAGTCACAAATGACGGGGATTTGCCTAGGCCAGACCCAGGAACCTAGGGAGTCACAAATGACAGAAATAGGGAGTCACAAATGACAGGAGTGCCCTTTTGCCCATCTACTGGGCTCTTGTTCAGGTTTAGGGTTTAGGGCTTAGTCTTCAGGTTCAAGGCTTAGGGTTTAGGGTTTAGCAATTTTTGCATGTGCTGGGGTCTTGTTCAGGTTTGATGTTTATGGTTGAGGTTCAAGGGTTAGGGTTTAGGGTTCTAGCATGCTTCCATCTACTGGGCTCTTGTTCACTAGGTTCCCCAGGAGTACCCTTTTGCCCTTTGATTTGGGGCTCCCCTTTTGAATGCCGAGCGCTAGGGAAACGATAACCCTGATTATACTGCAGGGGCTACGGGGAGCCTAGTCAGGAACTTGATAGAAGTTACCGCAGTAAGGAAACCACGCAAAGGTCTGCTAAAAGGGCACTTTAATTACGATCCTTCACAAGAAACCGAGCCATCTCTTCAGCTAGTTCTCCGCAATGCTTTGCAATCTCAGGGAGCGTCATATTCACACCAATCTACTCGGAGAAGACTTAGTAGATGTACATGCCAGCCTGTATTCATGCATGGATGGATGGAGGGATGCAGGGATGGAGGGAGGGATGGATGGATGCGCGCGCAATCGCATAAATAAGACATGCCCTGCTGTCTTACATGAGCGTGTCGTTGCTTAGTTCTTTGCTTTCTTGATTGATAAGTCCATGAGGTGATCCTGATTTTATGAAGTCTCGAGGTGCTTGCAGCTCCGAATCATCGGGAAAGTATATACACGCGAGCATGGTGTGTATTCGAAGCTTACCTGGCCTACAGCTGGCAAAAGTCGATTCTCGGCTTAAACAGGTGTTTAGGGTTTAGGGTTTGGGGCCGGCTTAGAAGGGTGTTTACGTGAGTTTCTGTGCTTTCATATTACATTGCTTTTACTCCCTCGTGCGACTGAAACAGTACGCTATAGAAGGGGTTGAAAGCCCATAACGTTTACGGTCTTAGAACCCGCTTTCTACCGCAAACCGAGGAAGTAAGGAATGCTAACCCCTAAACCCCGAAATCACTTGAATCCATCAACAATCCTGAAACCTAAACAGCCCCTAAAACCCAAAGCCCAAGGATCTATACGGCCGCTTCTCCGCCGCCGCAGTTTTGGTCAAAAACTTTGAGGGCCATGAGCTGGTCCGTGCTGATGTTGCTGGGTTTTAGTTCTGGTCGCAGGTTTAGGGTTTAGGGACTTAGGCTTTAGGCTTTTAGCGTTGGGGGTTTAGCGGTTTGGGTTGAGGGTTTGGGGTTCGGGGTTCAGGGTTTTGACTTTGCATTGTCTGGCTTAAGGGTTCCGCAGTTGGGGTTTATGAAGTTAGGGTTTAGGCTTGCGGTTTTGGCAATGTAGTAGCTCCGGAGGTAACTCTTTACCGTGTAGGCTCCGTTGTATCCTGCAAGAGAAGAGATGGCAGCTTTTCCTTTGATAGTGAACCGGGGGAGCTTTCAAGTTTTTGGCCGTATATGTTAGCTCCATTTTAGAAAGTTTGAGCTTTTTGAGCTTTTTGGGGTCCGGTTGTTGAAGAAGAGAGTTTCTGGGGCTGGGAATGTCATCGACTGCCTCAACCCCGAATAACCTACCTTTTTCAGGCATTGTGAGAGGACTTGTACAAGGAAGTCCGAACAAGGAACCCTGAAAATGTTACGTTTCCGTAGGGTCCAGGTAGGTCTAGGTTGTTGAAGAACCGATTGGAAAGGTTGTTTATGGGCGTGGGTTGTGAGGCGCGATAGGATGCTTATGCTAAGTCGCCAAAATAGGCATCTAATTGCAAATCATGTGCAGCCGTTGCTATGTCAAAATACATCTGGGAGTTTCCGAAAATTAGGGGTAACTTATTCGGGGGTCCTCATAATAAGGATCCTGTTATTCAGGGTACAATATCAGGGTCCCTCTTTTCGGAAACCCCATTTGGCTCTGAGAGAAGAACACAGGTTGGGCCTGTGCTTCTCCACGGTGATGGTCGGAAACAGGGAGTGGAGAGTGGTTAGCGCAGATGCGACGACTCTGGGATCTGGAGTTTATACCTCTTTCCTTTTTGGAAGTGGTTTTTCCTGCATGTAAGAGTTAGTGTTTTTTCTCGGTTGCTGTTTCAGAGCCCAGGGCAGTGATATCATTCATCATCGCAGGCTTCGCTTGTCTCACCGCCGTCACGTTTTCTGTCTTGATGTGGAAAGAGAAGTACCATTGGGAGTTGACTCGAACTGCACTGTACACTCTCCATGCATTTGTGGCCTGCCTCATTGCCTTGGCTGTTTTCCAGACATCTTTCCAACGGCCTGCATTGTTTGTGCCTTTTCTGGGACTTCCAGCAATTGCCTGGGCCATGGAGTGCGATCGATTGCTGGGCATCGAGGCCACCAAGCAATCCAACTATTTGCGACAAGGTTTCACCGGAAAGGTTCGACATGCCTCCACCTCGAACCCAGCAGACGGTGAGCGCATCCGGAACATAATCTCTGAAAGTGGAGCCGAGGCGGCCGTCGACGAGGCTGTTCAGGTTCTCTTGGGTAGATAGTAATCCTTTACTTTGCAACCTTTTCTGAGTGTATACATAGCTCAGGGGGTCCATACACACTGATCGGGATCCGGAACACTACCGTGTAATTCCAGAGTCAGTACTCATGAACCCACTGCAGCACCCTGCGACAGACTACCCTAAACCCTAGAAAGAGGCGTATATAGCTTTTATCCCTAAACCCTAAACCCTAAAACCCTAAACCCTAAACCTCAACCGTTATATAGGTTTTAGGCTTTAGAGTTAAGCCCCTAAGCCCTAGACCCTGAAGCACTGCTTCCCCGTGCTCAGGTTCTCCTTCGGATGAACCTCTCAACAAAGGAGCTTCGCATCGCAACCGCGCGAGTGGGGCCACTTGGGAATCTAGGTGAGAGTTTCAGAATTTCATCGGATCCCGAACTATAGTCTCCTTGGGAATTCCTTTTTTTGTTCATATACAGCCCAAGAGAATATTTAAAGTATTGTTTTTATTATGGTTCTAAGGAGGGTATAGCTAACCTACGGCTTTTTTGTTCCTTGGGTTTACAGGACAGGATCTAGTTGGAAGTATCAGACAGTACTCCGTAGCGGCAGCGAAGCAGGAAAAACTTTAACCTTTCGGGGTTGTTATACTCCCAACAGCCTCTGAAGTGCCAGTGAACTCAAAAGCCAAATAGAAGCTAATGGCAGATCAAACATGGATCCACTACTTACTTGTTTGTGGTGCTGCATATGGGAGGTTCCAATAAGGTTTCCAGAAAAATCACGAGACACCAATCTAGACTCTGAATAATGGAACCCTTAGTTAGTAGCTTTAGCAAGACCCCCCCCCCCCCTCCCAAGTATTCAGCGGAAAACTGGCCTTCCCTTGGTTTTCGGGTTCCTGCCATGCCCAACTCAACACCCCAACCCCTTAAACCCGTAAACCCTACCTCTCAATATATTAAGCTAAAGGCCCCGAAGCCAAAAGCCCTAGTGTAGGAACCTGATGAAGAAACCCCTGGTCCTATAGCACCAAAATAGTAGGATTCACATATGGATCCCTAATGAATGAAAGACCCAAGGTTTCTTAATCATGTTCCTGCATTAAACTGCCTTGGGATGTCCCCAGGGATGCTTCAAGCTGGAGCCGTGGACTCTACACGATTACCATGGCCTCTCAACGCAATTTGGGCTTTAGGGTTTAGGGTTCTGGTTTAGGATCTAGGGTTTACGATCACCATGGCCTCTTAACTCTTATTGCAATTTAGGGTTTTAGGGTTTATCGTACTTGGGGTTCAGGGCTTTGCTTGGGTGAAGGTTCATTCTCCTCCCTCTCCCTCTCTCTCTCCCTCTCTCTCGATCGATCTATCTGTCTCAGAATCTAGGATACGTAAGCGCACAAGCACCTTTACATATACACAGATATACACAGATGAGCTCAAGAGATGTTTTTGGGAGGCTAGGGAGCTGAGTCTTGCGAGGTCTTCTGGGTGGGGCAGACCTTCAACACAATGCTCTGGCGGGTCGAGCCTGGATTTCGCTGGATACCCGTGGTTGCCGCAGTGCCCGGCACCTTACAGAGGAGGTTTATGGCTAACTATAAGTGGGTGGGTAGCTATAGTTAGGGTAGTTATAACGTGGGGTTATACCCCCCAAGTATGGTTTAGTTATAACTACACTATAGTTATAACCCATATTCGGGGACTTATAACCGCACTTGTAACTACCCATGACCCTCCCAGGACTAGGACTGAGTAGGTTCCGGGATTTGAGGGTTGTGTTTGCCCTCAGATATCTATGAGACCCTATACAGTTTTATAGTGTGCAAATGGTTTGCTCTGAATGGTAGCATTCATAGGAAGGACAGCCCTTTAATTTGTACTCTGGTATACAAGTTGAATCCAATTGAACCAACTTGAGCTTAGGTGCAGGCGGTCATCGCTGCTTGTGGCTTGCTTTTCCTGCCACGGGACCGAAGGCCATTCGCACAGAGATCGGCGGCACTCTTCATGGTTTTCCTGCCGAAGTTTGTTCCAGGAATACCCGCAGGTGGCAAGTGGGGCGATGCGTTTCTACATGGAATTGCAACTTACCGGTGCTTACGTGGGGAGTGGGAGAGTGCATCCATATTATCCTGTAATCGTCCCTAGATGATCCCTTATTTGTAGTCCCTATGTTCCCGCAGCACCAGTAGGACCTGGAGTAGGCCCTTATTCCCCTTTTTTCGGGATTAGGTTCTCTTATAAGCCCCTTTGACCCAAAAAGGGCAGCCATTTGATTCCTAGGCTATTCTTGGGTCTAGAACCAAGGGGGGTAGAGAACCGACTAACCCCTAAACCATAACTAAACACTCAGTCAGGCCATCCCCTTGCTCATTCTGATGGCCTTCGCTGGACCCGCTCGCACGGCACGGCTTCCTTTCTTCGGTCCCATGCTGGTTCCTTGGCCCCATAGTAGTTCCCTTTCCCAGATCTCCAGGAGGATACAAAAAGTAGATCCCTTAATGGGGGTTCCTACAAAGTACCTTTAGTGAGTGGTATAGGACCCCAAATTAGGGGATCTACTTTCTAGATCCTCCCGAAGGTCTGGGTTTGGGGTTCATATGTAGAATCCTATAAGGTATTCCCAAAAAAGGATCTGCCATGGGGCCGATGGGTAAAGGGTCTAAGTTTAGGGCTTGGCAGCTGACTACTGCTGCTACTGTACGTAATCAACGTAGCCCTGAAACCTAAACCCTGTAAAGTAAAAGCCAGAAAGTTGGAATATGATTATCCTAACCCTTCTGGTAAATTATAAGGTATCCTACCCTGAAACCATATTCCAACTTTCTGGAGTTCTCCTTAAACCCAACGCCCAGACTACCAAGCTCAAAAGCTGAGACAGTCTTACCCAGATAAACATTACCATTACGGAATCAGGTCCCGGAAGACCATTCGCATTACGGTGTCTAGCTCCATAGTCGTACTATGTATACGTATATGTATATATATATATATATATATATGTATGCATGTATAGATCCTCTGCAGCCCTAAACCCTAAAACCGATATTAGACTGAGCAACGAAGGTGCGACTCCTTTTTGGGCAAAATGCCTTCAAGTGCCACGGCTTGAAACGAAGGGCAGACGAACATGGGCCTTTTTTTGTAACTATATACGACCATACAAGGGGGCCTGAACCTGAAAATCTTCAAATCAGCCATGAGTCCTAAACCCTGAACCCTAAACCCTAAACCCTGAACCATAAACCCTAATCCCTAAACCCCAAAACCTTGAGGTGCCAGAAGGTCGAAGCCAACCCCTCTGACAGCTTACAGCTCCAGAGCTGGGCCTTGGGAAACCCAGGAGACTCATACTTACTTGCAGGTTCATGCAAAGTTTTAAGGATTCCTTTAAGGGCCCCTTTAAAGGGATCTATAGGGATTCTACAAGGGTATGGGGTTCAGGGCCTTCATGGGTAGATAACCCATATTACGGGAATTATAGCCCCATGTATAACTTAATAACTACCCCTGAACCTTCAAGTCGGACTTGGGGTTTAGGGATTTAGGATTGAGTTATATTGAGTTCATGGTTTCCATTGGAATCCAAAAATTGGGGGCCCATGAACAGGACCCTAATATAGTACCTTAAATTTGGTAGGATCCTTATTTTAAGGACCCCAAAATAAGGTAGCCCTAATTTTCGGAATACCCCAAAGGCCCCTATCCTAAACCCTAGACCCTACAGATCCCTTAAGGAACCCTTAAGGAGCCTTTATCAGAGACCTTTCACCCTCAACAGGTACCTTCAAAGGCATCCTTCAAGGAAGCCTACAGGGTTCCCTTTGTCATAGTTGGGCAACATTTTGCATGTTTATGGGTACTTAAACCCAATAAGGAATAGAAATTTTACCGCCTCGGCTCTTTGGGTTGATATGAGGGGGGAGAGGGGGAGGGGGGAGGGGTGAGGGCATGGATGGGCCCTGGGAGGGGGGGAGGCCGACAAATCAGGTAAAATGAAGGGATTCCGGACAAGGGTGGCAAACGAACGCAAAAACAGGGTGTCTCCAAACATTTGGAGTGCTGGGAGGAGGATTAGGTGGAGGGTACCTGAGGTAACCCCCAAGACGCCTGGGCCTGTGGCCTCGTCGGATTTAAACTTTTAATCCTACCCCAACCAGGAACTAGTTCCTTGGAGGGTTTAGGGTTTAATCCGTGCAACACGGGGCTCCAATCGGGGGGGGGGGTAGGGTTTAAGGGGTTTAGGGTTCTTAGGATTTTTGCAAGGGGTCTCTACGGGTTACAGCAAAAAGGCTTACATTATGGGTAACTGTCAAATTTAGGAGCTCTTGGAGGAACCATGTATACACTTCTGTTGTAAATACGGCACCCTATAGCTTGGGAACCCAAGGGAGGCCATAATTTGGACAACCACCCATAAGGCTCACTGTAATCGGGATCCCAATAAGGACATGTGCACAAGCAGTTTAAAAGCATATTTCTACCTTATTGGACTGCATTAAGGTATGGGCCCTCTTTAAAATTGTTGGTAGACCCCCAAACCCTAAACCTTTTAAGGGCCGTCAGAGGAGCACATTGGGGAGGTTTCGTAGGTGCAGGGCCGGGGGTTCGAGTGCTTTAGGGCTGTAAGGCCTGTAGGGTTTTAACACTTTGGGGTTGGGGTACAGGGTTTAGGGGATTTTAGGGTTTATGCTTTTGGGGTTTTCGGGCTTAGAAGGTTTAAAGAGGGTTTGGGAGCTGTACGAGATTATCTGATAATTATGGGTTTCGGGTTGAAGTAAAGAGGTTTTGTAGGGTAGATTCCTGTCTGAGAGATTTAGTTATGTTTTACATGGTGCTACAATGGTTCGGGAGCTTCAGGTCACTAGCTTGTAACAGTTCTGTGCATGCGGGCAATAAAGGGCAATTCCAAATCAAGGGATACAGTACTGTTCCATGTGGGCTTTTATATGGTTCTAGACTCTAGACGGATACTATAAGGGCTTGGATTTGGAGCTTGGGCTGAAGCCTTAACGCCACCTGAAACACGAAGCCCCAAAACCCTAGCCCTGGACCCATCTGGACCCTAAACTAGTAAACTCAATCCCCCAACCCCCCAGACTTTCACCCCCCAGACACCCTCGCATCCTGCCCTAAAGCCGCCTGAAACACGAAGCCCTGAAACCCTATCCGTCGATCGGATCCCCCCCCCCCCCCCCCCCCCGCAGCCCAGACAGGAGCAGGGAGAGCTCCTGAAGCAAAGGAAAGCGAAGACGAAGACTTCGTGTCTATATGAGCTCCGGAGTTCTGGATGATTCTGAAGAGAGCTGGAGCCTTTAATAACAAGGGTGACAATGGTGACAACAGTCACAAAAATAGTTGTTTAGTAGTGATAGTAGTACTATTTACCAATTGAAGACTTAGGATGTCAGGGTGCTAGAACCACCTTGTCCTCGGTCAGTATCATCCGTGGTTTCACCACTGGGTATTACCAGCCTTCATTCCCAGCTTCGTGATTTTTGAGAAGCACCTCGAATTGGGGTACACCGGCGAATGTAAGAACAGATTGCAGGAATATTGGTAATTATCACTATTAGTATTCCCATATAGAGACATAAATCAGCAGGTTTGAAATAGAATGGCAGCCAGTTAAGACCCTGTTAGATCCAGTCCGGCAATGCAGTTGCCGGTTCCTGTACAGACGAAACAGTTTCACCACGGGCAGACCTGTGAATAAGTCGAAGTGGCTGCCCCTCCGAAAGCATGGGGTCCTAAAGGTCTTAAAATAATGGTTCATGTGGCTTTAAACGGTTTTGCACTTCAAATCAAATGGCATTGTGAAGGCTCACTGTGATGATGAGGATGATGATGCGCCGAGGATTGAGACCCCCATCTTAGTGGGCAGTTGGAGCCCCGGCAAACAAACGATGAGCCGAAGTCTGGAAGTACGTGCCTAAACTTGCACGAAACCCGAAACGTTAAGCTTTTTGGATTAAGGGTGGTGTTCAGGTGTTTGGCTGAGGCTGTGCTTTCGAGGTCTTTCAGCTGCGAGAAAACTTAAGCATTCGAGGCTTCGTCGTGATTTGTGATTTGTGCGAGATATGTTGTGCATGTATATGTGTATACATACATACATACATATATATATACACATCTATATATAGTATTTTCACATACATATATACATCTATACATATACATTATATATATATATATATATATATATTTAGACACATCAAAATATAGGTACATACAGGCACGTACATGTTTACTCATGTGGACAGCCTGAATGTAGGCAGCGAAAGGTGCAAGGTAGCATACTGTCATGTAACTACTGCAACACAAGGCCACACAACACAAGTGTGAAGCATGCTATGTATTGTGACTTTGTTGTCATGTGATGCCATACAACGTCAGGTAAAGTAGCGCAGGGCAGTGCAAGCCAAGGCAAGGTGATGTATATTGTAGCATCTACAATGAGATGAAATGAAGTGGAATGTAATGTATTGCAACTTACACGCAATGTCCTGTACTGTAACAGCATGAGATGTAGCGTAAATTCATGCCGTGACATGTAAAATGTGATACATGCATGCATGGGTTGCGTTTCATACGGTATCGTGACATAAAAAGATTAATGATACAGGCACGCCTTGGCACACACACACACACACACACTTGAATATTTGTATATATATATATATATATATATGCTACTCCCCCCCAGGACCTACCTCGGAGCCTCTTCTTGTACTGTCTAGACAACGTTACGACTCCACTCCGAACAAAACTGTTATATAGTGCGTAGTCTTCCCTGTCTACGACGACACAACACGGTTCGAACCAAGACAATACCACGAAGTATTGTCTACTGTCCTCTGTATGCTACGCTATTTCACGGCGCGCTCCTCCTGATGTTCCTTTTCTGAACCGTGATCTATAGGGTATACTATAAGTTATTCTAAATAGTATTTTAAAGGGTGTTCTAGAGGATGTTCTATGAGGTATATTTGAGGATATTTGAGGTATACAGAGGATATACTCCATAGGCGGTCTTCCGTAAGGATGGTATTCTATAGGTCATTCTATACGGTGTTCTAGAGCGTGCTCCATAAGGTATTGTACAAAAGGCATTCTGCCGCCTATGTGTAGGAAGGTATTCTATAGTGTATTTTGGTTGAAATTCATTCAGGTGCATAGAGAGGGTATTTTATAAGGTAGTTGTAAAGATGGTCTTCTTGGTTCATGACCTCTTCATAGGAATCCCTTGCCCAAAAGCTGCAATTCAACTGGAAATTCTCAGATCTTGGGCTCCGGCTGGTTTTCCACATTTAAAGTCCGTATCTATAAGGTACTTTTTTAAGGCTTTCTACAAAGGATCCTAAAGGGTATCCTACATGGTACCGTATATGTATTCTATATGGCATATATAAGGTATACAGGATGTATCAAATAGAGGCGTTCTTCTTCAAAGTATCCTACAGTGTATTACAGATGGTATTCTATAAGGTGTATGTAGGGTAAATCGGTGGAATTGTAAAAAAAACCTGCTATACGGTAGTTTAAAAATTGCATTCTATAGGTATGTGCAGCATGTGCTACAAAAGAGCTTTGTTCCCTGTATGTATCCTTTGCCAAATAATAATCGATTTGAATTTCTAAATCCTATATTCCGAAATTCCTTGATATGAATCCCTTACCAAATAAACCACATTCAACTGGGGAACTCTCAAATCTTGGGTGTACAAGGTGTATAGGGAATATACGGGTATTTTATAAGGTATCATCGTATTCTACATGAGTTTATTTACCGTTTGTAGAAAGAGTAAGGTATTCTGCAGGCTGTTCTCCTTTATTCCTCATTTCTTTCATAGATGTCCCTTGCTCAATAAGCTGCATAAAGCTTGGCCTCCTTCTGATTTACCCTAAGTAAATCCTGATCTATACGGTTTCTGTCGGATATCCCAAAGGGGATTCTCAAGGGCATATACAAGGTATAAAGGGGAGTATCGTTCGTAGGATTTTTATAAGACATTCTGTACAGTATTCCAGATGGTATTCAAAAAGGCTTGTATAGGGTATATAGGAGATGAGCAAAGTATTCTATGGGGCAGTCTATTGGGTATTTATAGGGTATCCCGAACTGTAACGTATAAAAGGTATTCTATACGGTGTATATATAGGACAGATTTTTATACGATGTTTTATGAGCTACAGGCTAGTCCATAAGGTATATACAAAGTATATACTTCATAAACTGTATATGGTACGACCTGAGTATTTTCTATGAAACTCTGGAAGGGAAAAGGGACTAATCAATACTGAACTTTAAAGGATATTCTCTTACAAGTAGGTTCCCGATTTCCATCATGGGAACCCGTTACTCAATAAGCTACAACTCAGCTGAACATTCGCAAATCTTCGGCTCCGACTGATGTTCCATATTTAACGTCTATCTGTAAAGTATTCTATAGGGTATTCTAATACAGGAGTCGACGAAGTATCCTATAAGATATTCTATGAGGTGCATATTGACAGGCTGTATAATACCTGGTGCCCTAAATGTTTACCAGGGAGGGGCGCGCCGACATGATCACAAGCATTGGGGGGAGTTAGGAGTACAGATGCGATCAACTGTCAAGCACAGCAATCCGTTCGCTAATCTTCACTGCAGGAGTAGCCATGTGGCACACAAAATGGCACACCGATATGTTTCGTGAGTATTTATATGGTTTCCAGCGACCTGGCTGCAGTAAAACCGGCATTAGAAAATTAAATTTTAATGCAGCCCGGCCCGTAGAACCAAGAACCAAGAACCAAAATGCCCAGGAGTCTTGAATCCTGAATCTTGGTTCCACGGGCACCGGCCGGGCTGCATTAAAACCTGCATTTAAAAATTAAATTCGAATGCAGCCCGGCCCGTGGAACCAAGAACCAAGATGCCCAGGAGTCTTGAATCCTGAATCTTGGTTCCACGGGCACCGGCCGGGCTGCATTACAACCTGCATTTAAAAAATTAAATTCTAATGCAGCCCGGCCCGTGGAACCAAGAACCAAGATGCCCAGGAGTCTCGAATCCTGAATCTTGGTTCCACGGGCTTGGCTGCATTAAAATTTAATTTTTTAATGCAGATTTTAATGCAGCCCGGCCGGTGCCCGCGGAACCAAGATCCAAGATTCAAGACTCCTGGGCATCTTGGTTCTTGGTTCCACGGGCCGGGCTGCATTCGAATTTAATTTTTAAATGCAGATTTTAATGCAGCCCGGCCGGTGCCCGCGGAACCAAGATCCAAGATTCCAAGACTCCTGGGCATCTTGGTTCTTGGTTCTTGGTTCCACGGGCCGGGCTGCATTAAAATTTTAATTTTTCAATGCAGATTTTAATGCAGCCCAGCCGGTGCCCGTGGAACCAAGATTCAGGATTCAGGATTCAAGACTCCTGGGCATCTTGGTTCTTGGTTATACGGGCCGGGCTGCATTAAAATATAATTTTTTAATGCCGGTTTTAATGCAGCCGGGCCTCTGGTAGAGTCATGTTCGTGTACACTAATCTCCGTATACCCTAGTCACTAGTCCATGTTGCATGTGTGTGCGTGTGTGCGCGTGTGTGTGTGTGTGTGTGTGTGCATGTGTGTGCATGGGTAATGAAGTGTGGTTTCATATTTGTAGACAGACGGGTTTGGAGGTAGGTCCTGGGGGGGGGGGGTACCATATATATATATATATATATATATATACACACATACATACGTATATACACGCAGAGACGTAGGTTGTGCCGATACTTACACACACACACATATATATATATATATATATATACATATATATATATATATATATATATATAAGAGACACATTACTGCGTACACGCATTTACAAAAGGGTTACTGCTGTACATGTGTATTTATCCATATTCCTACATCCATATACATATAAGAATGCTGAGTATAAGTAAAACAAATACATCTTAACTCGTAAATGCATACGTATATACATACATACATATATACATATATACATATATATACATATATGTATATATGTATCGATCGCTAACCAAACCTTGTCTATGTCTTTATCGATCGAGATTTGTAACTGTGTATATGCATGTATATACTTCTGTTCACAACTGATTGCAGTATGCATATGTGTATGTACATACGTATGTATGCAGGTACGTATGTATGTATGTATGTCTGTACGTATTCATGTACCTACATCTGCATGACAGTATGCCTGTATAGATTGATAGATTCGTACATAATCTCTTGCACAGACGTATGTTGTCAAGACGTTGAGGGCTTGCTCTTAGCACGGTCGTGTTGCCCTACCTCTGCTATAATTGAATTTCCGTTGATGGATTGCTCACGAACCATGTTTTTTCACAGTGCAGAGAGACCTCACCTCTTTCAAGTAAGGGTCCTGAATCAGATGCTACAGTCTTGTGTCTGGGAGTCTAGCAGTTTAGCAGTGTTTTGTATCCTAAGCCCGGAACCTCAAAATTTGAGCCCTAATCCAAACCCTAACCGTTTTCTGGAATTTCGGCTTTGCATCGGTTCGGAGGGCCCATGCACTCAGAGAGGACGCCCGCGACTTTAGACACTGTCGTTTGCGCCTGTGAGCGACGAGCTGTTTTGTTGTGTAGGATATATGGACTAAGAATTTAGTTACATGTCTAGGCTTTGGGATCAAGAATGTAGGGTTTAGCGTTTATGGCAGGGGGGGTTCTAGCCCTTCTTGGAAAAGGCGTTCTTCGCCAACTTGGCTAGGGCCTCCACCACTATAGGGGGCCTTAATAGTTACACTTAGGGCTAAGGGACCCAGAGAATAGGTGTTCTTTTTAAGGGCTCCTTTCAAAGGGATCTAGGGAAACTATTACAAGAGGTATTATGGGGGTTAGTATAGGGGCGGTAATGATTAGAATAGCCTTTTTGGTCCCATTATTTATATTTTACCGATAATACGGG